CGTTCTTGAGCCGTTCTGTTGCCCTCTGATTTAAATGAACTCACAAGCTTCCCGTTTGGTTTAGATGCTAGCAGATTGGCACACCTGCAAATGTTGGCTCAGAAACCTGGCGAAGTCAGCAGAGGTAGTCTTCACATACTGTAGCAACTGGTTCGCCCAGCACCGGAAATGTGAGCTTGCTTTGCTCTCATGTGTGCCATCTGCACATGCGTGCGACATCACAAAACACGGCAGTTTGTGCGCGCGCGTCGTCCACACATACATGAGGCATCAAAAACACAGTAATATAGGACGGGATTGTGCCCCGGCTGGTGGGTGGGGGCAACCACCCGCAGATCGCCACTACCAGTTTGCCTGAACCAGTCCGAACCGGCTGAATACCACTTCTGGAAGTCAGCTGCTTGGCAGCTTCTTGCTGGTTCCAATTGTGTCTATAACAGTGGTGGGTTTCAACTGGTGTTACCACCAGTTCGCTTCATGCACGCGCTTCGCTCGCATGCACGCCAAACCTGTGCTTCACGCAAGCGCAGTTTATTACGGAGCAGCTGAGACATGGCAATCCGCTCTGCTGCGCCTTTCAGCTGGGCTAAAAAAGACCAGATATAAGGTATGTATAACGCAGGGGCGGGCGGGAGGGCCAATGTAACCTTCAGAGAGAATCGGTTTGCTCTCAGCTAACCATCATCGCTACCAGCTCGCCCGAACCGGGCCAAACTGGTAGAAACCCACCACTGATCTATAACCTAAAATATTGCAGAATAGATTCTACCACTTTGTTCTTTCAACCCTGCCTGGACTTCAGTATTGACTTCTGCCGGTATGAACGCTCTCAAACTAAATCTTGTGTGATTCTCATGTCTGTTTTCTGCTCATCACCTGCCACAGGCTGAATTTATTGGGTGGATTTTTGTTTTTTGCTTGGCTTCTACAGCATCAATGTATTTGCAGACCGAATCAATTTTGTGCAGTGGGAAGCCGGCAAGGGAAAGGAAGGGAAAGGAAGGGGGAAATGAAAGGGTGTTTAAAAAAAAAATGTAGTCAATGCTTTGATCCAAATTTTGATTTGCAAATCTATGTCGTTGCTATTGGTTTATTTTTCTTTGGTTTTAATTTCCTTTAAAAATGTTGGTATCTATTTTAAAAAAAAAAATTGAAAGAGAAAATATTAATGTTTTTGTGCCAAAAAAAGGCTTATTTTTGTTTGTTTTCCTTGCAAGCATCTGATGGTCATAGGGTAGGTGGTTCATTCATCTGCTGGGGGTTTTGATGGAGGTACACAGCCCGCATTTTTAATCTTTACATGAATTAAATGTCAGTTGGGACACATGAAGTCTGAAAGAGAATATCAAGGCCTTTGGCTAAAATGTCTGCCCCTGTCTGTGCTGATGTCTCCTGTTGCACCTAATCAAACGGATTTCCTGGGTTTTTGGTGCAATGCAAAAAGCCTACTCAACCTGTCCATGAATGATGGACAGATGAAGGCTGTGGGAAGTAGCCGTCTCACTTTCAAAATGTAGAAATTGTGGGTTCTTTTTTTCTAAGAGCGAACTGAATGTTCCCAGTAAGAGAATGTTCAGCTCGAATATGGGCTTGGGAGGGTTCAAAGGGGAATTGACTTCTGGAGACATTTTTCCTAGTATTAATACTTTGTGGAGTCCTTGGTGCCCTTTGAGCTTGGCTGGGGGTTTTTTTTCCAGACATTTCATTACCCAACTACCGTGTTTCCCTGAAAATAAGACCCTGTCTTATATTTTTTTGAATCCTGAAATAAGCGCTTGGCCTTATTGCCATGCGCTCAAAAGCCCGATTGGGCTTATTATCAGGGGATGACTTATTTTGGGGGAAACAGGGTAGATAGCAACAGCACTTAGACTTACAGTAGTGGCCGAAATTGTGGAAACCTTTTGGGAAAAGTGTATTTTCTAAAACTAGCTAATAACACCACTTTTTTTTTTTTTTTTTTTGGAGTAGTACAATAAAATTATATATCAGTGGAAAGATAATTCAATCAAGAATGTAATGCAATAACTTTTATGAAGGATTTGCTATTAGAATTGCAGTTACAATATAAAGAAGAAAAATGAAACACGTAGAAGAAACGAGATATACAAAAATTATCACCATGTCAGTTAATACCTTTAGCATGAATTACGACCTTACATCTTCCCATGGAGTGAACTAAGTCTTTTAGTTCCGGAGCTGTTATAATGTGAAACCAAGATTGAATGATTCCTTCTATTAACTGGGTCGCTTCTGACTAACAAGTTTCTTTAGTCAGCTGCATAGATTTTGGGTTAAGGTCTGGGCTATTCCCAAGCCATTCCAGCAGTGGAATATGATTATGTTGAAACTCCCCCCCCCCCAAAAAAGTGGTGTTATTAGTCATCAAACCTCAAAAATACACTTTTCCCAAAAGCTTTCCACAATTTTGGTCACAACTGTATATACCCCTTCACAATGCTTTATAGCCCTCTCTAAGCAGTTTATAGAGTCAGCCTATTGCCCCCAACAATCTGGGTCCTCATTTTACCGGCCTCAGAAGGATGGAAGGCTGAGTCATCCTTGAGCCAGTGAGATTTGAACTGCCAAACTGCTGGCAGTCGGCAGTCAGCAGAAGTAGTCTGCAATACTGCATTTTAACCACTGCACCACCATGGCTAGATAACATCGTCAGTGCTAACACTTCCCTAGCACTGAAGATGTTACCCTGCTGGGTAATGAAACATCTACAACAAAACAACCAAGCTCAGAGAACACAAAAAACTCCACAGTTTAACCCTGAGCTGCAAATATTCTCTTCCACTGGTATTAATACTTCTTCATGGCGTTTTCCTGATGCCTGATCGATGACATTTTTCAGAACAAAAAAATGGAGACTCCATTTCTGGGTTTTATCCTAAGTTGGATTGTTTTCTGAACGATGTTATGCCAAAATTGTGCATTATACACCAATGGGCCTGGTGCTCACCTGAACCAGCCTTTCTCAACCTGGCCCTCCATAGGTTGGGGATTCCAATTTCCATCACCTTTGACTATTGGCCATATTCAGAGTTGATGGGAAATGTAGTCCAAAACAGGTGGAAGACACCAAGATTAGGGAAGCTGTAGGAGATAATTTACGAAGAGATAAGAGTTAAAAGGTTACTAGCTACTGGGCTTATTGGGAACTTCAGGGGTGGTGTATCTGACTGATTCCTCCTGTTTTCATAAAATCTTAGAGTTGGAAGGGCCCTTAGAGATCATCTAGTCTAACAACTCCCCAGTACAGGATCTGCTAAAGTATCTCTACCCTTCATCCTCCAACCCATTCTCCTGAATGGAGCAGGTGGAGTGAAGTGCATGTCAAAACTGCCATAAAGCATCTATCTCTCCAATTTAAATGCACAAATGTACATAACATTTTTTTTTAAAAAAATCATGATTTTTCCAGACTTCCCTTCAGGAATCACTATGCCTGTCTCAGCTCAAGGCAGGATTTACAGTTTAATCGATCTAAATACTAATGATTCTCTCTCACCGGGTAGCCAGTCAGGGAACATGTGATATCAATGGGAAGCCATCATGATTCGATTCAGACAAAGCTCTGTGAACTAATCATGATAAATGAGTACAGAATTTGAGTGCAGACATTTTGCTATTTGGTTTTTAGGTATAAAAACCTCATTTCTAGCCCTCTTCAACAACAACAACAAAAAAAAGCAGGTGGATAGTTGCAGTGTTGCAATCTTACAGTCCAGAGAGAGATCAGAGATTGTTATCTTAAATCTCAACTATTTCTGTTTGAGGAATGGAATTAGAATATTTTACACAAATAAGATGCTTCCATCACATTGACACTATACAGATAGCCCTTGACTTACAAAAGTTCATTTAGTGACCGTTTGAAGTTACAATGGCACGGGAAAATGTGACTTATGACCATTTTTCACACTTAACGACCGTTGCAGCATCCCCATGATCAAAATTCAGACGCTTGGCAATTGACTCATATTTATGACGGTTGCAATGTGGTTCCAGGGTCACGTGATCACTTTTCGCGACCTTCTGACAAACAAAGTCAATGGGGAAGCCAGATTCACTTAACAGCCATGTCACTAACTGAACACCTGCAGTGATTCACTTAAAAATTGTGGCAAGAAAGGTTGTAAAATGGGGCAAAATTATTATTATTTATTATTTTTTATTATTATTCCTATTTCTATGCCGCCCACTCTCCGAGGACTCTGGGCGGCTTACACCAAAGACAGTATACTAAATAGCATATTGCCCCCAACAATCTGGGTCCTCATTTTATCCACCTCGGAAGGATGGAAGGCTGAGTCAACCTTGAGCTGGTGAGATTTGATCCGCTGATCTGCTGAACTAGCAGTCAGCTGAAGTAGCTGCAGTACTGCACCTTAACCACTGCGCCACCTCGGCTCTTAACAACAGCTGTCTTGCTTACCAACAAAAATTGGGTGCTCAGTTGGGATCATAAGTCAAGGACTATCTGTACATTGGTTATGTTTTGTTTTTTTTTAAATACAAAATTTTGAATAGAAGCAGTGCTAAGGAATGAGAGCCAGTTTGGTGTAGTCGTGGATAAGGCATCACACTAGAAACTGGAAGACTACCGATAGTTCTAGTTCTAGTCCTGCCTTAGGCATGAGGCCAACTGGGTGACCTTGGGCCAGTCACTCCCTCTCAGCCCTAGGAAGGAGGCAATGGCAAACTATTTCTGAAAAGCTTTGCCAAGAAAAAAACTGCAGGGATTTGTCTGAGAATCGGATACGATTGAAAGGAAGAAAAAAAAAATGCTAACAAAATCCATTTGGTGTATTCCTTTATCTGGAGATGGGGCATTGTAAAAGTTGTATGGGGCGGAGGGGGTGGGGAGGAGAACAATGGAAAACGAGAGCTTGATGTGCATGAATTTGATAGCCATGTTATTTTCTTCTCTCTCTCTTTTTTCCCCCCCTCGCCCCTTCTCCCCTCTTTTCCTTTCGAAACCACCTGCGTAGCCTGCAAACGTAAAGAGCAGGAGCAGCAAAAGGACCGGAATCTGCAACCGAAAAAACAGCGCCTGGTCTTCACCGACCTTCAACGCCGCACCCTGATCGCCATCTTCAAAGAGAACAAGCGACCTTCCAAGGAGATGCAGATGACCATTTCGCAGCAGCTGGGCCTGGAGCTCAACACCGTCAGCAACTTCTTCATGAATGCTCGCCGGCGGTGTATGAACCGATGGCAAGAGGAGCCAGGCACCAACCCCGGAGTCCCCTCTTCATCCACAAGCACTTTTTCCAAAGCATGATTTCCCTTAATTTTTCATACACCTCTCATAATCCCTTGCATCCCCCCCTGAACTCCACCCAGAAGAGAGCCCATTCGCTTCTCCGTGTGTGCTCCCCTCACCTGCATACTGCATATACGTTGAGCAACGACAACGCACCGTGCCCACTTCACAACCATCCACGGTTCGATGCCTCTGGGACATCCCAGATCTTCCAGAGGCATCCCATAGCAGCCTCCGTCTTTGGACCTCCCTCAGACCTTCCCATTTGTGAAAGGGCCATTTCATCTCCTCATCTGGTGAGCAGTCTTCTCCCAAGCCTTGGGTTTAGCTGAGGGACGTCTTTCCTCCCCAGAAGTTTCAGCCAGCGAGTAATTATATTGTCCTGATGGCAGAGGGGGGAGGGATCTGTAAGGAGCAGCTTAAGAGCAGAAGCTTTCACGGAAGTTGATTTGAAAGCTGTCATCATGGGAACAAAATGCTTATCCCAGAGGCCCTGGCTATCTGAGGAGCAAGTGTGGTGTATGCCTTAAAAAACAGCCCAGTACTGGAAAATTGAAGGGAGACACAAGTAACTTATTAATTTGTGAAGCTGATTCAGCTCCCTCAGATGTATTTCTAGATACCTGTCCATGTAACTGGGTCTAATTCCTGGGTTTTAAATTCCAGACTAATTGTTCCTACTGGGGTTATCTATCACCACCGAGATAGAAGTGAATTGTGGGATATTTTTTAAGACTCATACCAAGACCTGTTAACATCTGATTCTATTTCACCTTCCTTTTTCAAAGAAAGGTCATTTATTGTGAAGTTGAAAATGGCCTGCCTCTGAAATGGGAAAAGGCATATGAGAGGATCATGTGGGAATCATTTAGCCTTTATAGGGAGACAAGCTGTAATTGTTTATCTTGAAATGAGAGTCAGTGATGATGACATGTGTGAATGTAGATTAGGGGGGTTGCTCAGTTTGCAAGCCAAGGATGCATATAGGGCCTGAGATTTAAAAAAAAAAAAAACACAATCCCACCGACATCCTTCATCCTAGTAACAATGGGAAAACGCATGAAAATCCATTCCAGAAAAAAAAAAAATCTTCAAAATGTTGTCATGTTGTCTTCATATACATTTCCTCAGAGGCTCAGCCCTCTTTTTTCCCACCTCCTGTCCTCCACAAAAGTTTTCACACTCCAAGCAGTCCCCGTGAAAATCCACCAGAGGTCTTGCCAAGCGCATCACGGCATGGTCTGAAAGTTACGGAAACCAAATTCAACTCTCAAAAGAAGACTTTTTTCTTTTCTTTTTTGACGATTCCTCTCCAAGGAATTCCAAGCCAAAGTGTCAAGGGGGAAACCAGAAACTCTGATGAAAAACGATCTCCTTTTTTCTCCCTTGAATTAGTCATGTGGAATCCAAAGCGAAGTTGCACTGTGTCACCTAGAGAAAAAGCGGGTCATGAAGCACATTTTACGTACATAAATCGGGTAATTTAAAAAAAAAAAAGCTTTAAAGAAATCAAAGCAAAGCAGTGCAGGAGCTGAATTTTTATTTCCTGGACACTGGATCGGCAGCTGACCTTCCATCCAATGTTGGTTTCATTCCAAAGGCCAGCCTCAGCTGAATGATTTCTATCCTCAATCCTCTTTTTTGCCTCTTCTAATCCCCATTTTCTGCCTCCAATACATACAGGATGGCAGAAGGGGAGAGAAACCATGACAGTATATGTGATAGGAATCAGATTGGGCAAGTTGAGTTGAGCGGGGGGATAAATTATGAATCCGTTTGCTAAATGGATCAATAGATTGGCAAGGGGAAGACATGCCCCCACCCAGTCCTTTTCCGGCCCCAGCTCCATACCCTCCCTGTTGAAAATAACAAACTACAAAAAAAAAAAGAGAGAAAAACTCAAAAAAAGGAATCCTGGCAACGTACGAAAGATAAGTGACTATTTTTTGTGTGTGTGCCAATTAACAGCTTGCCTTAAAAATAGAAGATGGATACCAGATGATCGTCCTCTTTCGCTTGGAAAGGAGGACTTGACTTCAGTAGCGTCTGGCGCCATGAATCAGGAGCGTTTGCAAGGCAAAAAGAGAGAGAGAGAAAGAAAGAAAGACACGGTCAGCTTGATGAGAAATAGCATCACCAGTTAAACCTGTATGTCTGGCTGGCAAAGTTGAAGCCCCCCCCCCTTTGCCTAGGGAGCCAGAGAAAAGGCGTTTGAGAAGGCAGAGAGGCGACGGAAATGCAGCCTCGCCCTCTCCGTCCTAAATGTGGGATTCTTTGTACGTGTGTGTCTGTGTGTGTCGTTTCTTGGTTTTATTATTTTTTAACGGGACACTATCAAATTGATGCGGGTAATAGAGCACCATCCTTGCGCAATGGTTTATGCGTTCACTTTATGTTGAAGACAATGTGTTGAGCGACCCTGAGGCACCTTTGGGAATGGAACAAAAAGAAAAAAAGAGAGAGGAAAAAAAAACAACAACAACAATCCAGAACCATCAAAAGTTTATTCTTTGAGCAGAAAAGGAAGAAGGGAGAAAAAAAAAGAGAATTAAATGACTCTGCTAATATTTCCTATCTTCAGCAAAACATTTTGTCCCAGTCTTGACTGTTGGGTGTGTCCAATCAAGGTGTGGGATGGAGTGGGAACTGAATTTGGATCAACCAAAGAAAACTGGAAAAGGGAAAATAGCAAATGCTGAGATGTGTTTTGTCAAAACATGCATACAGAGAGAGGTGGGGGGGGGAATACTACAGGAGGACAACAGCCCCTCCATTACCTCTCTCAGACCCCCTGAGTGTCCATCCCCTTCAAATCTACCCCAACCTACCGCATCATCTTGTCTTGTTGTGAGTTGTCGATGCTAAAGAATGATGGAGAAGGACTCTGGTGGATTTCCCATACCTGATTTTTGTGAAGTATTGAAGGGCTGAGAAGCCTCACTAAAGGGAAAAAAAAAATGAAATGAAATAATGAAATGAAATGATGGGGCCTGAACTTAGTAGAAGAACCGAAGGGAGGGGGAGGGAAAAAAAAGGAAAGAAAAGGAATAATTCTATCAAAGGAACGACCCCGAACATGCAAAGACATTTTTAGTGAGAACCAGAAAATATAGGCTACCTCACTTGAGTTTTCGATTTGTGTGATTTGAAAATCACATCTGATACCAAAGATTTTGTTCTCCTTGCCTGGTTTGTGCTGGATTACACACATTTGCGCCTCCCCTTTCGTGTTCCCTTTGTGATCCTCCATTTATAGTTCGTAGTCACAGACCTTTCCCCATCCCACCGTCTCCTGTGCTTTCCAACTTCCCGAGAGAAAGAGAGAGAAAGAGAAAAAGAAAGAGAGACCGCTAGATGCACGAATGAAACTTGGAGTGATAGCTGAGTGCCTTTTTTCTTGTACAAAAGGTGTAAAACCATTTTTCTAGTTTTCTTTTTCTTTTGTTTTTCTTTGTCCTATTAGTTCATGAGATATTACCTCAGTTCTCTTAATCAGAGGGATTCTGGCAACTCTTGTAGCTTTTGGGTGATGGGACAAAAGCCATTTCCCTGGGTCCTCTCCTTCTGCCCTCCAACTACCCCCTCCCACACCCACACACACTCCCCAGTGTTTCATGTGCACTCCCAATGCACATCTAATTCACTAGGTGCACAAGAAACAGTGAGGTGTGTTCTTTTGCTTTGTGATATTTCCATTAGAAAATTTTGGTTGATGCTCCAACACTGGAGTTTTTTTTAAAAAAAGATTGGACAGCCATTTGAATGGTATAGGGTCTGTTGCTTGAGCAGGGGGTTGGACTAGAAGACCTCCAAGGTCCCTTCCGACTCTTGTTATTCTGTCTTCTGTCTCCAGAACTCTGCGTCTCTAATGGGCATCCGCTGATTCACTGCCACCCACCCAAGTAGGACAGTAGAGCGAGATGCGTAGCCTGTACTTGTGCTTATGCTTGGCATACGAAGGACGCTATGTTCAACCCTTCCTGTATGTAAAGCTCTTGGAGGAAACTTCACTGTGCCCAAATCTCTACCACAGTCAGCCATCCTGGGCTAAAGGGGCTGATCCAGGATTAAAAGTGAGCAAAGCAATTTTTTCAGCCCGATACGAATGCATATTGGAAATCCCAGCAGCACATTATTGGGGGTGCATGGCTACCCTTTACACGTGCACAAGTCAACTCACTATCAGGAGCTCCTTAGGACAAGGGGGAAATAAAATGAAGCTAAGGCTAATGTGAAGGAAGATTGGAGAAAAACTACTCTAAAACGGGGGTCCTCAACCCTCCCCCCCCCCGGCCTGCAGCCCGCTACCGGGCTGTGGACCATTGGAAACAGAGGCTGCTGAAGTGGCAGGAAAGTGCACGAAGCTTCATCTGTGCATCACAGGATTTAGGTTGCGCGCGCAACACCCTTTCCCCTGCCGTCGAAACCACCAAAGCAGCCGCTACCGTCACCAGTCTGAGGAACCAAAACGATTGGGGAGGGACCCCTACTCTAAAATATATCTGTGATTATTCATGCGATAATGCATATTATCAAATATTGCACCATATCAGACTAAGCTGGTTACAGGTAGTCCTTAATTTACAATGATTCGATTAGCGACCAAAGTTACAACGGCGCGGAAAAAAAGTGGCTTATGACCATTTTTCACACTTAAAAACCGTTGCAGCATCCCCATGGTCATGTGATCAAAATTTTAGACGCTTGGCAATTGACTCATATTTATGACCGTTGCAGTGTCCTGGGGTCATGTGATCTCCTTCTGCCATCTTCTGACAAGCAAAGTCAATGAGGAAGCCAGATTCATTTAACAACCGTGTTACTACCTTAGCAACTGCAGTGATTCACTTACCAGCTGCGGCCAGAAGGGTCGTAAAATGGGGCACAACTCATTTAACAACTGTCTTGCTTAGCACTTGGAAATTTTGGGCTGAATTGTGGTTGTAAGCCAAGGACTGTCTGTGTCCCACCCTGAGCTACAAATACTCTCTTCTATTGATCCAATGTAAGAATATTGATAATAACTAACTCCCCTAATAACTATGTCCCATGAGTCATTTGTTACCTCCCCCAAAAAAGCTCATGATGG